GTATATATATATATATATATATATATATATATATATACGTGCATGCTTGTTCAGAAGCCAGGTTTAAAACGCGAAATAGGTTCGATTCTTTTTGCGTTCTCTTGCGTTTTTATTTTTTCTTTTTTTTTCCCCCGAGCAAAGCGCAGCCGCATCGCTAGAATAAATTATGGTAGAGTCGATATCGTAGAGAATTTCGCGTTAGAAAATGAATTGGATGGTAAACGATCGATATTCGAATTTCTGGCAACAGCGCACGCGACTGTTATACACTTTGCAACGTTGCAAAAATACCCTCGATCGATTTATCCTGGAAAGAGTCGTGTTTTATTTCGGTTTCTATGAGCATCTTAGGTTTTTATTCATCATTCGATTTTGACAAATCTTTATCCAACCTCTATCGAATATACCTTCCCCTCTGTCTGCACTCTTCATTCTCAACATTTCTCGGACTGCGTTCATTTGGGAAGTGACAAGTGACTGACCATGCGTTTGCGATATTTTCTTCGTTTGATCGTTTCAAAAAAAGCTTTTTATCTATTTATTTATTATTTTCTTTAATATATTCAAGGATGAAATTCGAAAAAAAAAAAATACGTACGTCAGTATCAGTCATAGTGTACACACGGATAGCGTTATCAAGCGTTATATTACACACCTTTTTGCCTTGCTTGGCAAAAAATTTGACGAGATACGGCGCGGTGCAGGTGGCGATAAGCCATTCACCAAAACGAGGATGGTCAAATATTACGTGGATTTTAGGATGCTTTTAGAATTAGAATTGAAGAAAAAAAAAAAAAGAAAAAAGAAAAATTTTGACGTTTTCTCAATTTAACACACGCATTAATTTCACTGTGCAAAATTCCAACATGTTAAATCCCGTCAGACACGTGGTGGGGACACTGGCGCGGAATCTGATGGATTATTAGGGACGGTGGCCGACAGGAACGGTCCTCAACATTCTCAGAAATGCCCCCCTCGCGGGCACGAGTGTCAGACTGGGAGCAATAACGATAAGGGGATACGAACGGAGGAAAACGAGGTGAATAAATCTGCGGTAAACGAGGAAGAACCGTGCGCTAAGAATCACCACGGTTGGAAAGGATTCAGTCTGAAGAGGCAGCTCAGCAAGGTTGATCTGAAAATAAAAAGTACCTTCTCCCCGGCTTTGCTCACGTCTCAGAATGGGGTACTTGTATGTCTTTTTTTTTTTTTCGTATCCTCTGTTTCGTCCCCTTTCGATAAAATTACACTTTCCTTCTCTCTTCTTCTTTTTTCATTTACCTTTTTCGATTTGAATTTGAAAAAAATACGATTGTTGACGAAGAAAGAAAGTGATAGAGGGGCGGATAAAGGGAGAAAAAAAAGTTACATGCGAGTGCCCCGTTGTTAACAGGTAGGCAGCGATACTAGCAGTCAGAAATCTTGCGTTTTTTACTGTAACGTGAACGAGAACGCGTTGTCTCCAGTTGAGAGTATCGTGTCGGAATGTTCTTCGTTGTCGTCCGGAGAGGACTCGATATCGGAGCGCGGGGAAAGCCCGACGGGCGACGATAGCAGGAAAGGAAGGAGGAGCCCGACGATCGACACGGCGGATAGAAACAGATCGGTCGGGCAGAGAGATCCGGCGGAAGCCGGCCCGCCCCTTAATTTGACCGAGAACCAAGAGTCTAGGCCCCCTATATTGAAGAAGATCGTGAGGATGAGGCAGGCGAAAAGGGAGGGTCGTTTGTTGTCGGTGCCGAATTTAAAATTTGCGAAAAATGATCCGCCATGATTTGTGACCTAAGATGCGAGGAAACGAACACGGCCGCCCCACCCGAATCTTTCACCTACAATCTAATAAGAAGATTCAGTAAGTGTTTAAAATTAGAGAGTAGAGAAAAGAGAGTTTCTGTTTCTGTCCGTTTCTGCGTGCGTGTGCGTGTGCGTGTGCATTTAGAGATGTCATCACCGCGTGTGTGTGTGTGTGCGCGCGTGTACCGTTGAATTAACACGAGATTAACACGAGAGTGGAGGGAGTGATAAGGTGTGACTGGGCTCTGACTGATCTCTTCGTTTCTTCGACTAACCACGTTCTCTTTCGATCGTAACGTCGGTTCCGTTTCACCGGCAACCGACTTCTTCGATCGAAAAGAAAGAAAGAAAGAAAGAAAGAAACGGATGCCTCTGCGATGCCTCTCGTTCATTCCGTGTTCTACAAAAAAAAAAAGAAAATTAGATCGACCAATTACATGGAAAGAAAGAAAAAGAAAGAAAGAAAAAAAAACCTGTGCTACATTTCGACTATACGCTTCTACTACCACCTTTTTTCTTTTTTTCGATTTCAAAAGAAGGCCTAGGATGCTCGTAGATTATTCGTAAATAAAATAAACTTTTTTTTAGTAGGTAATATAATTGTTAAATTATCAAAGTATACGTGTGCGTGTATATATATATATACATATATACACACACGTATATACGTAAACAAATTAAGCTTTGGCCAAAATATGTATCGTTTGGAATCAAAGGTTTATGTGAATACGTTGTTACATATACAATATATAATTCTGCTCGTGAAAAAAAAAAAAAAGAAAATATGAATCTCGCGTCTTTTTCGCACTTTTTCACTTTTTATCTCTCGCGCGCCTTCTCGATTCTTCTCACCTATCTATCTATCTCGCGAATCGAAAAATTATTTATTTGCTTTTCGACTCACATAAATCTGAGATTGAGATTGAGACGCGCGATAAAAAAAAAAAAAGAACAGCTTGCAAGAATAAAGCCAATTTTTGCGATTATTATTAGATCCCGCCCCGCTCCCCCGCTCTCCCCCCCCCCCAAGCTTTCTCTTTTGTATTTGGTTTATAGAATAACGTTTGTATTTTTCTGCATGACTAATATGCAAACAC